ATAGGAAAAGACCAAGAGGAAAAGTAGTGCAAGCTTGACAGCCTGGAACACGGGATGGGTCCATCAGAGAGGAGCATGAGGGCCCGCTAGACGAGAGCTAAACCCAACACAATTCTACTTTTCACAAACATAGAATTAAGCCGGGCAGTGGTGGCGCACGCCTTTAATCCCAGCACTCGGGAGGCAGAGACAGGCGGATCTCTGTGAGTTGGAGGCCAGCCTGGGCTACAGAGTGAGTTCCAGGAAAGGCACAAAGCTACACAGAAACCCTGTCTCGAAAAAACAAAAAAACAGAACTAGTCCCAAGTCAGTTTACTTTTAATATAGTTCAAAATTAAGACACTATTCAATTTTTAGAATTCCTACCTAGAAGGTAGACAACACAAACACATTGAACTGATAAAGCAAAATGTGTATATAGCTGCATTTTGTGGGTCTCCACAACCACTATGCACAGCCTCTTAGCGACTCATTGCCCACTAGCTACACGAGACCTCAGAATCTCCTGTCACAGGACTACAATTTCAGGGTGGATTTTCCCCATCAGAAGTATTTCTTCAGGTGGATACAAGATGAACTTCTCCCACTGTGTGTGTGTGTGTGTGCACAGTGCATGTACCTGTTAGTAGGTCTGTGTTTGGGTATGAGGGTACATGCGTGCACACTGAGGTCCAAGGCTGATTTCCGGTTGCTTCAATTGCACTCCACTGTATAGACTGAGGCAGGGTCTTACCTGGGGAGCCACCCTGCTCCAGGGATGTCTGACTCCCACATGCTAGGATTCCAAGGTCTTCATGGGGATCCTCATGCTTGCTCAACAAACATTTATTCAACTATCTGCCAATCCAATTGATCTGTGATACATGGGCTGTAAGTCTGTGAACATTCTGGTTGTTTCAAGCCAATTAGGAGCCCAAGTTTGTGCTCTGTGGTGTCAACCCAACTTCTGTACAATGTTAATGACTGGAAACACTGAAGTTGCACTTATTTCCCTGCCCAGCTTGTTTCCTGTTGCAAATTGGCTACACCAAACCAACAAAACCGGCTGACAGTTCAACCGGGATGGTGGGAAACACAGTAGCGGTTTTAATGACCTCATCCAAGGGGGAAGCAGCAAGGAACATTGTGTCCTCTCCCCCTCCCTTCTCTGTAACCAGGGCTCTCAACACTCCAGGGGGTTTGAATGCAGGTGCAGGGTACCAGGAATCCCAGGTGCGAGTTGTGTTTCCTTTCTCCACTCACCTTTCGGGTCAGCTGGCAAGTCTGCTTGACCACAGCTGGAGCTCTTGGTTTCTCAGACACAACCTTAACTGGGTTTGAAGCACTTACGCCAGGAATGGTGCACACAAGGCAGCATTATTATACTTGGGGAGGAAAGCATGACTCCATGGCTGGTGAACCATTGCCAGTCAGTACGCAACACTGCCATCTAGTGGCCAATGGTGACAATGTGCCAAGACTTCCCAGCCCAGATAGCAAATAGGAATACATCTGATTTCCAAGCCAAAAAAACAGCATTTCTAATAAACTGGTCTTCGGAGAACCTCAGGTTTTCTTGAGAAATTGTCTTTAGAATGCACAAACATACATGTTTTCTCTGCTTTTCTGGTATTTTTCAACAGACCTCAACTTCAAAGACAGGAGCTGCTTTGGGGCCACTAGCCTGTGAATTACCTGTCCCTGGTTTGGAAGGATTGAACAGCAGCTCCTAAAGACATCAGCTAGCTAAAGAAGCAAGTCTCCACTGCAAAAGAAGTATGTTAGGGTTGCTCCATTCCTCCGTTCACAATCTAGGGCACTATCTGTACCTCATTTACCACATGTCCTGAAAAATAAAATCACTGGAACACACCACTAACAATCTGCACCAACCGTCTGCATGACCCACATGCAGTACAGTGGAGGGCTGCTGAGGTGGGATGTAGAGGTGATGCTCCTAATGAACACTCTGTGGCCCTGTCACCTAGGTATTGTCGTTAAATTGCGGTTTCACAATTTCTGTGCGTAAATGTGAATAGTTAATGAACACCTGGGTAACATACTGTGACTATCCACACTTCATGCACTGTCACTGCTGTGACCACTGGGACTTTAGGTTCTGGGTTAAGCAGTCTGCTCTTTGAAATGTCCACAATGGTTACTGATCTTGCTAACGAGGTCTCCTCTAGCACCGTGTTTCTGAGTTTATTGGAGGCATTCCTGGATTCTAGCATGTGTCTGCTATGGTCTTCAGCAAACATACATATTCTTGGCAAATACTAAACGCAGTTAAGGACCTGGGGATAAGCCAAGTTCTGGGAAGCAGACATATGAGGAAGAGGAAGAAGTTGAATAAAGACATTTTAGGCTGCATCCTGTCAGTCAATGCAATGGAATGCTTCAGTCCTCAGGACACAAGGTCGTCTAGGACAAAGCTGTGGGAGAGCCTGGCCAGAAGCAGGTGTTTCCCATCACTGACTGAGGATGGTGCTCCCTGGAGCACTGTATCTAAATGCTCATTCTAGGGATGTCAAAGCTGCCTGAGGTTCTCCACAGCTGCATTCTCCACCATGCCCAAGCTGACGCTCGCCTTCCCCGCTCAGCCTGCATCAGCCTGCATGTTTCAAATCTGAAAGTGACTCAAACATGGTGCCAGAGTCATCTCCAAAAACGTTTATTAGCATGATTAAAAACATTTTTTTGGATAGTAACAGAAGGAGTTTCTAAACATGAATGAGTTATCTGTGGCTCTACCTTATAACCAATATTTGGAATTGAATTGACAGCTTTATTGCCAGTCTTCATTTATTTAAAAACAATCCATTTATCAGTTCCATGACGTCATGACTATTGCTTTGTCTGGGAATGAGTCCCTACAGCAATTAAGTATAAAAAATATCTTCCATCATAATTGGAGAGTGACCTGCATTGGAGCGTGACTCTGAGTAAAGAGTTGATTAAAAATACACAAAGAGTTGGGTTTTTGTTTTTAAAAACACTCCTTTACACACTACAAAGAAAGAATTAGTATTTTGGCTTTTAAAATTCCTACATGATACTGAGAATGGCAGCCCCCAGAGGCAGTCCCGCTCACATCACTGGACACAGCCCCTCTTCTGGAGGGCAGATTCCAGGGGTGGACTCTGAAGGCTTGGGCCTCCACATGTTTAGACTGGTCTGAGAACAAAGACAGCGTCGTCCAGAACGTAGTAGTCATTGTACATGTCGCCTTCACACAGGTACGGCAGTCTGGTGAAAGCCTCGATGACAAAGCCAGCTTTCCTGAACACTTCAGGCAGGCTATTCACTTGTTCCTCCCAATTCTGTCCCTTGATTTCCAAGATTTCTGATGGTTTCTCCCACTTGCCACCTACTAGAACAAATAAAAACATAAAGTTAAATCCTTGAACAAATGATTCACTAAAAAAGGGAAGGGAAGGGAGAGCCAGCATTCCAGGTACCGAATGCCCCTGGATGTGCCATCTCTGAGCAGTCCCCACACTCTTCAGGAGAGGTGGACAGTCTGGAAGGGCAACAGAACTTGCCCACAGTGATGCCCCCAGGCTGCCTGCATCCAGAGCCTACATTGACAGAGCTTTTTTTGTGCCTCAAAACACTAGCCAGTAAATACACAAATATGGGGTCAGAGAGTAACCACTAGTATTTGAAAGGTTTTGGTCAGTACAAGGGAACACGTATATCTAACACTTACTCAACTTCCTGCCTAGAGAGTTAACTGAATGAAAATTAAAATAGGTTCATGAGGAATTTTAATTCACAGAAATGCACATGCTTTTCCAGAGATGCCGACCCATTCCCTAAGTCATCTGTCAATCACTTCCAAACCTATAAGTATTAGGAGTCTGGGGTGTAGAAAGTAGGCAAGACCACATTCTCCTACAAGCCACACCCTGACTATACAGACAAAACCGAGAGTATACTTGAATGCGGGGTGCTTTTAGAGGAATTCCGAGTGAGGCTTCTGATGCTAAAGGGTTCTACTACCAGCAGGTGGCCAGAGCACACAGGGTATGGGGGGAAGACTGTGCTCTTTTCAGTGGCCAGTACTGCACTCTCTGCCTGGGGAGCTAATCCTTAGTGGGATGGGAAGCTGCTTTTCTGGCCTTCCTTGCAGCAGGGGATGGTGCAACACCTTGGCTGTTGCCAAGGCTGGAATGAAGAGCTGGTGAGCCAGAAGAAGAGGCAGCCTTGTGCTCCGTGCAGCACTGGTCTCAAGTGGCTAGGGAGGTGGCCTGGTGGGTGGTGCCAACAACAAGGGTGCAGCACTCGGTGCCTGGAGCCAGCAGCTCGGCATCACACCCGTTCAGTGGGACTCACACGCCTCCTGAGTTTGAGTTCACACGGTTCGCCAGGCCTTCTAAAACTCCAGGAGCCACCTTGAATCTTGTTAACAAGTCTCTTTTTGCTGGCTCAGCCTGAGTCAGTTCCTGCTACTTATAAAGAAGCACCTGACAGATCGAGGCTGAGTGTGTGTGCTGGCAGGGAGGGGGCTGTGTGGGACTCAGACCCAGAACAGGGACCAAGGGGCACACCCATTTTGCTTGTCAACACTAAGGAGTCTTTGAATTAAAGCCAGGTGGACATGCTTAACAGCAGCCATGTACTTCTTCACCTCACTAGGATGCGGTTTTCTCCCAGGCCTACAGGAAACACAGCCTGTGGCTGCTCAGGTTTGGCAATTTCTGGCCCTGAGAGGCACTCCTCAGAGGACTACACCAGCATCAAGAGCACTCTGAAAATGTCAAGCACTGCCTGAGGACCACATGACTTCCTAGAACACAGCTAGGTATAAAGCAAACCTCCACACAGAACATCAAATGCCTATAACAATTTCTAATATACACACATTTAGAAAAACACTCCCAACTGAAATCTCAAACTTAAAATGCTGAAACTTGTTACAAACCATGTTTACACAATTTCTAAAAGTTCCTGCTTGTGCTTCCTTAATAAGAGTTCCTCTTTACTTCTTACTTTCTGAAAAAAAGAAAGGAGGAAAAGGAAGGCCATCCTCTTGAGTACATGCCCAGCACACGCAGTGATGGGCCCTGTGAGCACAAGCAAGATCGGCCTCTGGCTGGAAATCAGCTTGATCCTATTTCATGTCGGTAAGGAGGATTTTTTCCCTTTTCTCTGTTTCATTTAAATGAATTGCTGCTTCCTGACGAATATACATATACTTTAAGCTCTTGCCAAATAATTTAAACTGTGTAGCACTAGAGTACGGTGGTGGGGTTTCTTCTTCCCCACGGCTGAAGGAAGGTTTCCTACCGGCCTTGACAAGACCTTTGCCGCTGTGCGGCTTCGAGCACAGCTCACCAGACAGGCTCAGCAGACAGGCTCTGCTCAGGACCGTAAGTGCTAACGAGTCAATTCCCACACAGGCAAGCTCGCTCTGGACCAGTGCACCCTAAGATTTGCCTAATACTTCCAGAGGACAATGTTACTGTAACCTGTTCTAGAGAAAAGCCACCCGGTAATGTAACTAATCTTCAGATCCTGCCTGGACCTGTCGTAAATCATCTCAGATTTACCCACAGAATTTAGACTGCAAGGAAAGAAACAGAGCAAATTAGTTTTGAAATTGAAATTAGTTTTCCCCGTCTGTAAAGAAATACAGCGTAAGTCTGCAGTCCAGCAATGAGGGTTCACAGACAAGGAAAGGAAAGCAGCAGGACACGGGGGGGGGGGGGGGGGGGGGGGGGGGGGGGGGGGGGGGGGGCAGGGAGGAGAAGAGAACGAATTACACCAAAGCGTTAACAGTGGCTCTTCTGACTAAAGAACTGTGTGATGCCTTACACTGTCCTAGCGTCCCAATGAGTATATACTACCTTTATACACTATTTTAACTGGTTCAAGGAAACCTTGTCTCCAGCTGCATTATGAAATGTCTGCAGATACAGTAACAGTGGAGTGAGGAGATGAGATAGTAAGGAGAGAGGAACCAAGACCGAGGTAGTGCTGGGTCCACAGTGCTAAGTACCGACTTTGGCAGGTTTGACATCTTCCACAGTAATAAATGTTGGGCCGGGGAGTAGAGGCGCACGCCTTTAATCCCAGCATTCAGGAGGCAGAGGCAAGTTTATCTCTGAGTTTGAGGCCAGCCTGGTCTACAGAGTAAGTTCCGAAATAGCCAGGACTACACAGAGAAACTCTGTCTTGAAAAAAAGCAAAAATAAATAAATAAATAAATAAATAAATAAATAAATAAATAAATAAATAAATAAATAAATAAATAAATAAATGGCAATGACAGTAATAATTTATTAATAATAATAAATGTTGGAGCTAGAGAGATAACTCGGCAAAGTGCTTGCTACACAAGCAGAGGGACCTCCATGTGGTTTCTAGAACCCGTGTGAGAAGGTCAGGCCTGGTGGTGCACACTTACAATATCAGTGATGGGCAGATCCCCAGGGCTCACTAGCCAGCCCAGCCTATTCAACTACTGAGACCCTGTCTGGAAAACAAAAGTAGATAGTTCTCAAGATCACAACTGAGGTTATCCTCTGGCCTCCACACATACCCCAACTTTCATGCATGCTGGCCACAGACCTGACTACATACACTTGAACAGGCAGACACACATTAGCACAAACAAAATAAGCTTACGGTATCCTTTAGTTTTCAAAAAGTTGTAAGGTGATTATTTTCTCCAAGCTAAACTTTCGACATTTTCAGTGGGAACTGATTTAAAACAAAAAAACACAGATCCTAAGAATTTCTAAAAGAAAACCTTAACGGGAGAGGGCTGTGGTGAGACGCGATCTCGACTTCTCATTTTGGCTAATGTTGCTCCACTGGAGGGAGAGGGAACAGCACTGCCCCCTCCTTGGCCTGTCTCGTGATTTCTCCCACCCCTGAGACTAAGACAGGAAACTCCCGAGTTGCAAGTGCTTCTTGCTGTGTTAAAAGTTGGCTTTACTTTTAAAATCTTCACCTGCAAGCCATCTGAGACTGGGGTTCTGTCTGCAGTGGTGGAACTTGACAGGACTGACCCATTTCAAATCTGCAGTGGTCCCTAGACTCCTAGGGTGATTGTGCCTAGGCAGAGTGAGGGGCTGCAGTCAACAGACGAGGGTCACCCCACTGCCCTCGGCACAGAAGCCAGGAGGTATTCCCAGCTGACCAACTCCTTTCAGCACGTCTCACAGAACCTCAGTTTCCCTCACAGTACACACTGCTCAGTGAAACGTGAGAAGAGACTCTCACCAACGCCCTGACTGACTGCACTGCCTCTGATGATCTGGGTGGGAACCTACAGAACAAAATGTTAAGTTCAAAAGAGCCCCAGCCCTAAAGCGGCAGCTCTCAACCTGTGGGCTGTAACCCCTTTGGGGGTCACATATCAGATATTTACATTGTGATTCCTGACAACAGCAACATTACAGTTACGAAGTAGCAATGAAAGTATTGTATGGTTGGGGGGCACCACATGAGGAACTGTATTAAAGTGCCCCAGCATTAGCAAGGTTGAGAAGCCCTGCTAAATGAATAGAAGCATCAGAGGGCTTGGACTGATCACCTGCCTGCCACCCCCCTCACATCCCCATTCTCAGAACAAAGTAGGAGTTGGAATAAGTAAGACCATTGGCCCATTATTTTTTCTGAGACCATTTGGCTTAAACAACTAAGCAGAAGTTGAACTAAAAACTCATATAAATTCCCATCTGTCTCAACCCACACTATTCTTCATATGACTTTCCAGCATCGCATTTCTAGGGCAAGAAGGCCAAGATAGGAACTCAAGCTCCAAGCAGCTCCACACAGTGGAGAGCAGGAATGGCAGGGGCACAAGAGAAACGACTGCCTTCTCTGAGATACTGTGGCTTGGGCATCACCACATTTAAACTCTGTCTGAACTGCACAAGGAAACAGCATCCCACGACAGGAAACCCAGGCAGCACTCAGGGCGCAAGTTCAGAGATGGGTTCCAACTCCAGTCTGTGTTCTCCTTGTCACTACACGAGTCAAGTAAGACCAACACACAGGGGACTCCCTCCCTGGCCTCAGCTCTACAGTAGTCAGGGAAGCCATGGGCTGGGCCAGAGCTGCATTTTCTCATAGGTACATCTTTTCCCGTTATCCTAATTCCCAAATGGACACCAGATTCATCTCTAGGCAATCCAGTCCCCAGCAGGCAGAAAATCTAGTGATGCTCAAGTGCTCAATCACACCCCAAAACAAGGGGTGTGCAGGAGGAAACAGGTTCTTCAAGATTACATGGATGGCCTGTGATCAAGGAAATGCCTGTAGCCATTAAGAATGTACTTCTGGCTTCAGACACACCACTTTCACCAGCCACACTGATCCCATGAGAACCTCTCTGAGGTTGTCCTCAGGTAGTCAGATGGCATGCCAACAACCATCAGGTAAAGACCAGCAGCAATGCGTTAGCACAGGCGAGGCCCACTGCTGTCTATAGTCTTGTTGTTAATGGAAACAGGACAAGAATCAAGAGACTGACTGGGCCCTGGCCCAGAAGTGCCAGGCAGCAGCAACAGCAAAGACGCTCCCCCACACTCACGTGCTTCCTCATGCAGGTGTGCTGGGTGCCTGTACTGTCTCCGTGGTGCAGCCAGGTTACCTAGAGGTGGACTACACTTCTGAGACCGTCACCATGGAGTGTACCTTTTCCACAACTGGATGCTCTTCAAAGCAACCAAGAAGCCTGTGGTTTCGCTGTGGCACTCATCAGCCTGAGGCTCTGTGTTTGGATGGATGCAGAAATGAGGCAGACAAGTTCACGGTGAGAGAAACCCTGGACCAGAACCAAGTCTCCCTCACTGTCAACAGGGTGTCTCCAAATGACAGTGCAATTTACATCTGTGGAATAGTATTTCCCCATGAGCCAGCACCGAGAGCTAAACAGACTGGAAACGGGACTACACTGGTGGTGAGAGGTCAGTCTGGGTCACATTTGTTAACACGTATATGGTTGTTACTTTCATAATCGTGGGAAGCCTTTTCTCTGGTTTTCTTCTTGTTATTGCTCACTTTTCTTTTCCTTTAAAGAAACCAAGTCTTGTTATATTGTTCTAGGCTGACCTTGAACTCTTGGCTCAAGTTCTGCTTTTGCCTCAGCTTCCCAAGGAGCTGGCACTACAGGCAAATGCTACCACAGTCTGTTTGAAATGTCTTTATCTCAGACTGACTACTGAAGGGAATGGCTTGGTGAAATCATTGCCAATGCTTATGTAGGTTTGATGTGCTCATGTGAGTGAGGGATGGTCAGAGATCTTCACAGGAAGCCAGAGTAATCAGTTTTTTTTTTCTCTGATATCCAGGCAGAATGGCAAAGGCCAAGGATATACTGGTGGCTTCTCTCCAAACTTGTGTTTAATCCTCTTTATTTTTTCTTAGTCCAATTTATTGGTCACTTATGTTTGTCTTACAGAGTGATATTCTAGGTGGTGCAATGCTAAGCCAGTTTCTGAGAAAGCTGATAAGACACACGGGGCCTCCCGTGTCACACCCAGACGCTGGCACAGGGAAAATGAGTGGCTGCTGGGCTTGCAGTCATGAAGTCTGGGGATGGAGAGAGAATGGAAAAGGCCCACCATTGCCTCTGTGTCTGTGGGTACCAGATGGAGTCAGTCAGGGAGGTTCTGGACGCTAGCAGCTTGTGTCAAGATGTTATACTACTAGATTTATACCGTAATTTGTGCTTGTGAGATAAAGGGTTAAAGATCTGAGCAAAATGTTATACTGTTTTACAGGAAAAAATGTGCATTACATAACTGAGTCCATGGGACAGTACCTATGGGATATTTAGCTGGAACCATAGGTTAATGGGAAATAATTTTGTATCTCTTTGTTTCATGTTTCATATAATCAGTACTGAAAGACACACAAGTTACTTAGTGCCTTCTTTGAACACAGAATACTTCCTGCCCAAAAGGAGAGTTCAGATGTGAAAACAGTATTCCTCCTCGGAGGGCTTCACTAGGGGAAACACATGTTACAACTGCCTTTAAAGCAAGGGCCTGGCTCTAAGATCCTCAGGGTTCCCGCTCCTCCAGTGTTTACCAGATGGCACTAGTCAGCTTTACACAGTTGCCCCAACAAATACCAAGAAAATACTTGCACCGCACCAAAAGACTTGGTGACTCTTGGTGGTCTCTTCTAACAGAAGAACGTGTAAATGTCCGTGTATTTAAGTAATGCTTATAACTTGGCTGGATGCCGTTCTGTGGCAGAAGGCTTAAGCATGTGTGAAGCACTAGGTTCAGCAAGCAGTACGGCACCGTAAGAAAGGGAGAAACCAAGTCACAACAAACACAAAGGTGGTTCTGAGCACTACAACAGATGTTCCCCTCAGTGTGGCTGGTTGAGAGCAAGTCTCACTATGTAGCCCTGGCTGTCCTAGAACCTACCACATAGAACAGGCTGGCTTCGAACTCTGCTTCTGCCTTGCAAATGCTGTCCTTAAAAGTGTGAGCCACCAGGCCTGGCTCTTCAACTTAATTTTTTAATGTTTTCATTTTATGAAGAAGCATTTCTGTTGTAGCACATTTAAAGGCCACTGAACTGACTCCATCCCATTCTCAAGCATCTTCTCCTCATGGGGCCCCACATAGACACTGCTGGGATGGGGGAGCACAGCAAGTTCAGGCTCCACCTCTAAATGTAGCATAAGTGATGCTTCATAGACGCCTGCCAGAACATGCTTGGACAGTGACTGTTCTTTCTGTCTCCACCATGAAGAAAGATTTCTCAGCAGGGAGGTGCGCAGTCTCCTGATAGTGCTCTTAGCACTGCTCTCTGTCTACATCACCGGGGTGTGTGTGATCTTCCTAGTCCTCTGCAAAGTAAGTCAAACGTTCTCACCTAGGATGTTACCATAGAAGTGATTTTCATCTGTCCGCCAGGAAACAGCTGGCCCAGCAAACACCTGGCTCACATCTTCTAGGCCTCCACTTCGGAGGAGGCTGCAGGCATCCTTGAGCCTTCATAACTAGGACTACTAGTCAGAGATCAACTCAGTACTCCTTCTTTAGAGCCCACAACTAGGAGATTAAGCACCTGTGTTGACTTTCTACTGCAAGGGTGAGGAGTGGGGAGGGGAGAGGCTACTGTCATCTAGGAAAACCAGAAGAACAATTTTTAAGAGCAAAAACAGTTAATGTACCAAAAAGGAGTATTTTTGATCTGTACATATGTTAACAAGTAAGGGTATAAATATCTACTAGAATTCTTCCATATGCTACAATAAGATCCATTTAAGTTGTTAAATTCATTTGTTAATTAAACAAAAGCACCTAAAATATTATGAAAGTTATCTCGTGTATATCATTCAAACCTTGAGCCAGCTCAGTTCTCTTTAAGCATAGTATCACAAAATGCTCACGGATTTTCTTATTCTTGGCAGTCAAAATCTAAGAGTCCAAGAAGTAGAGAAACCAAAGAAGACTCACAAAAGGTACTGTCAGTACTTGTGTTTCCACACTGTGGCGGGCGGGCGGGCGGGCACCAGTTCAAATGTCAGCTGTGTTAGGAAGCCCAGAGAACAACACAGGAACTTCCCCCCTAGAGGCTGCTACACCCCACTAGGGATCCTCTGCAATCATCTGGGAGGAAGTTGCCATAAATCCATTCAATGCACTCGGAACACAAGAGCTAACAGTGTGGCCGCAGAGGGGTCCCACTGCTGAGCCCCCTGCAATGACGGTGGAGCCCACATTCCTGAAAGACAAAGCTTCCCTTTTGATTTTACAGAAGAGTGCTCGGCGAATCTTTCAGGAAATCGCTCAAGAATTATACCATAAGAGATACGTGGAAACAAGCCAACAGCCTGTAAGTATAAAACAGCCCAGGACACAATTCACATATAAAGCTTCTATCCCTGAAAAGAATATGCTGTCAATAATCAAGTTTTCCTTTAGAAGACTCTTTTCACAAAGTGTCTTTATCAGAGAACCTGTTTAGCCAAAACTATGACAGAGGGCATTTGATACAATGTGTACCAGGCAGAGGCCCCCATTTTAGTGATGTGGTTGTTTTCAACCCAGGCAAGGAGCTTTTATCGACTGGAAGCTACTTTGTACTGCAGCCAGTGAGCAGTAGGCCTAAGTCAGTGCTGCAAACCTGTGCAGATTAAATAATATGATTAGGTTACTTGTTACCAGTACGGAAAACACTGGCTAGTGATACAAAAGCAGCATCTTTCTAGTTCTGGGACTGGACACTGGGGGCAGGATGGTCTAGGCGGAGGGAGTCCAGCTTATGGGTCGTAGGGTACCTGGTTCCACACAACACATGGCCCGAATGCAAAGCCTTCTGTAACCATGGACACAGAGAACACTAGATAACCAGGAGAGAGGCAAATACAACAGGATGATGACTATGAAGTGTGATTGTTTTCTTTTTTCTTTTCTTTTTTTGCTGGGGGGTGGGGTGGGATGGGGAGAGTTATCCAATTTGTAAGAGCTTTTCATGAGCTCGGGAATAGCTCCATGGCAGAGCACTTGCCCAGTATTCGTGAAGGCCCTGGGTCCCACCCCCAGCATCAGTTTTTAAAAATAAAAATCTAAACTTTTTTAACCAAAAAAAAAAAAAGTTATCCACATATTCAATCCACCCTCCTGTGATATAAAAAAGCATAAAGACAAAAACTGCCTATTCACACTTTTTCTACTGAAGCTAGGGCTTATTTTATTTTTTTCACACACGGTCTCCCTTTGTAGTCCTGGCTGGCTGGGCACTTTCTACGTAGACCAAGCTGGCCTGAAACTCACAAAGACACAACTGCCTCTGCCTCCTGAGTGCCTTTCAAGGAAAGCAAAAGTAAACAGTCGGAAGGAAGACTGGAACTAAGAACTGTAACGCTCTGAGTCATTTGACAACAACATCATGAAGATTTTATTTTAGTTCCCATAGCCTACTTTAAAGGAAGGAAAAATGAGGCCAGGTGTGGTGGTGCAGACCTTTGATGCCAGCACTCGGGAGGCAGAAGTGGGCACATCTTTGGGAGTTAGAGGCCAGCTTAGTCTGAGGAGCACCTTGCAGGCTAGCCAGGGCTGTATAGTAAGACACTGTCTTTTAAAAAGGAAAATGGTGAACCAGACTTAGAATAACTAGAAGGGCCACGCATGATGGTGCACACCTGTCATCCCAATACCTGGGAGACTAAGGCAGAAGAATTATCAGCTCAAGGCCAGCTTGGAAGGCTCCTCAAGGCCAGTAGGAAGACCCTGAGCCCTGTTTCAGAAACAAACAAAACCAAGATGAGCATGGTAACATTTACGTGTGTTTTGTTGTTTTGCCTCCCCTGGCTTTCCGACTTTTCAAGACAGGGTTTCTTTGTGTAACAGCTCTGGCTGTCATAGAGCTCACTCTGTAGACCAGACTGGCCTCGAACTCAGAGATCCACCTGCCTCTGCCTCCTGAGTGCTGGGATTAAAGGTGTGCGCCACCACGTCTGTGGTAACATATACTTGTAATCCCAGTATTTACTGGGTAAAAGCAAAGGATCTAAAGCTCAAGGTCATCCTGGACTACATACATAGTGAGTTCAAAGTCAGTCCGGGGACTACATGTCTCAAAAAAATCACACAATAAAGCAAAGGGTGGATTCTTTTCACACACACACACACACACACACACACACACACACACACACACACACACTGTTTCAAAGTGCATACAAGACCAAAGGTGCATGGTGGCAGAGTAGCTCCTATGTAGCTAGAGGACGACATCACTGGTAACATAATGTTAAGCACGGCTCATGTTTACTGTCACAGGAGAGAGACGGCACTTATGAAAACAGAAGAGCACTTCCCAACTCTGGAAGACCATAGATGTGCTTCACTTTTCATTAAATCACTGCAACTGAAACGCCAGCATCCACTGCAGTGTGAATGGACACAAGCCAATCAAAAACACCAAAGGGCGCTGGGGATGTAGCTCAGTCGGCAGAGTGCTTGCCTAGCAGGTACAAAGCCCTGGGTTTGATCTCCGTCACCCCAAAAACTCAGCAACGTGACACGAGGCTATAATCCCAACATTTTGAAGGTAGAATAAATAGGTCAGAGGTTCAAGGTCATACTTGAGTACAGGATGAATTTGAGGCCAGAGATAAATGTAACCCTGTTCCAAAAACAACTGCCACCACCAAAAGAAAAAGACACAACAAATGGAAAAGATGGCCAGCCACACCAGAAGGCAGAATGTTAGAAGCTGTCGCCAATGGAAACTACAAATATGAAAACCTCAAGAAAATTCAACCGGAGGATCTCTTTTTCTAATTTTCCATGAACAGTCTATCTTTTTTGTTTGTTTGTTTGTTTTTCCAGACAGGGTTTCTCTGTGTAGCTTTGCGCCTTTCCTGGAACTCACTTGGTAGCCCAGGCTGGCCTCGAACTCAGAGAGATCCGACTGCCTCTGCCTCCCGAGTGCTGGGATTAAAGGTGTGCGCCACCACCGCCCGGCCATGAACAGTCTATCTAAGGAGCTAATTTAAAAACAACTTCATCTTAGCAGTCTTTTAAAATAGTTACATATATCCTGTCAGTTCAGTAACCCGGAGAAGGCTTAAAGTTAAACCACAGATCTCAATTCTGAGGGGGGATAAAAGTCTTCCTGAGTTGTGGGATCGATGAAACAATTAGAATCAAGTGAGAGGGGGCAAAAGGAGTGAGGAGAAGGCCAATTTTTGAGTAAGAGAAACTGACTGTAAAAAGTATCCTGGAACAAAAGTCACCTCTTCTGATACTGTGATGGGCAATGGGCAGTGCACCCTCTTCTCCTGCTGGAGTACACAGAACAGCCAAGGAAAGCAAGACCAAGAGAGACAGAGGAAGACTAGCAAGAGAAACCCAAAGCGATCAGAAGATGCCTCAGAACAAACGCACACAACTGACTCTAGATGTCAGTGTGGTGCCAAAGACTTCAGGCCCAGGGAGTGCCAGGGCCATGCGCTTTCAATGAGCCTAGACAGAAGGCCTGGTCCAGCAAGGTCCTCACTATTTCACTAAGAGGTGTGCCATGGATTGTTCTTCGAATGTAAAGTACCGACAGGCTCACACTGCTCACTAAATTTGATCACAGTGTATTCTAGCAGTACAGTTTCTTTTAAACAGGTACTAAATGGCACACACTCTTCTTAAAACACAGATAGTCTTCACACATTCAAAGGTCTCTTTGGAAGGGTCTGACATTGGTGGCTCAAATCAGTGCTATCCTGATAACATGTGTCCCAAAAACTGCAGAGGAAGGAGCAGGTGACCTCACTTTAATTGTACGTGTACACGCACACACACACAAACACACACACACACACACACACACACACACACACACACACATTGTGTATAGTATATACACATGTATATGTATGTTAGCTACTGCAAAAGGAATAAAACGGTATAAAGGGCAGCATTTCTGTTGGCTGGCTAGTTGTTTGAAATTTTTATTTTACTTTTTATTTATGTGTGTGTAGTTGCCCATAGAGGCCAAAGGAGAACATCAGATTCTCTGAAACTGGAATGACAGGCGGTTGTGATCTGTCCAATGTGGGTGATGGGAACAGCACTCTTAACCACTGAGCCGTTCCCCTCCCTCCCTTTCTGACACAAGGCCTCGTACAGCCCATGAACTCATCTTTCTGCCTCCATACTCCAAAATGAACTTCCTACGGACTCCAAGGGCGAACTCCCTAAATCGGAAACTACCAGCTTAGGCAAAATAAACGAACTTCTGAACCAGACGGCAGAAAAAGGCAAGTACTAACTCCATTTAGGAGAGCAGAGTACTGGGTGCATGTGCCATTCATTTCTGCCAGTGACTGTGCTCTGGCACTGTTTCCAAGAGACAAATCTCTAATGTATTAGGACTGAATTCTAATATGCCTTTCCCAAAGAATGAATGCAACAACTGCCTCAAAGTTGGATTTTAAACTGAAATTCGGAGGTTATTTTCAGAGGAAGGACCTCTATTTCCAACATCACACACAAGAGGGCCCAATACTCAGTGAGCACTGGCTGTTCTGCAAAGTCAGCCCAGCACTCTGTCCTTGACTTACACTGAACTTGCCCTAGCCCAACCTCACAATGTCTGTATCTTCATGCTTCTACATATGCACTTGTGTGAGTTTGCAACATACTATGAAGATACAGCTCAATAGAATGAGCATGGTCCTGGGTTCAAGCCCAGCACTGTAAAAACAAGACAACACACACAACAGCTCAGCGACGCACACAAAGCCTGCCCTAAGTCCCAGTTAGTGATCTTTCCTTCTCTGGTCCTACCATACTTTGCCCTGTCTCTTTACATTACCCCAGCATTGCCTGGTACAGCTACACTCTGTAACAGAATCACTAGCAGCACAGTGCTCATTTATCGAGGTATATCCGCGGCCTGGCTCTTCCCAGCACACAGGCCTTCAAATGCCTTTGTATGAATGCGACTGAACAATAATTCTATTTTAAACCTCCTTGTGTTTCAACTGAGATGAGAAACACTTCACTCCCACTGACTTTACTCCAGAAACTACTGTCTAAGTCCTTTCTTGCTCCCTGAGCATCCAGAGAATTTTCCCTATTACATACTAAACTGCAGCCTCCCATATGACTGGAGACTCCCATGACAGCGAAGACGAAATGAGACACATCTTAGTCGGTTGCTGTTGCTGGGACAAAGTGTCATAGGCCTTGTGGCTTATAAGCAGCAGCAATGTCTTTTTCAGAGTTCTGGGGGCTGATGTGGGTTCTAATTAGGTCCCTCCTCCAAACTGCTAAAGGCAGAGTACGGGCTCTGGGACCTCAGCACAAGACACTGACCTAGTGAACCCCATCACCTCCCAAAGGGCCTACCTCTAAGACACAGCACAATGGTGGGGAGGCTTAACAGAGAAGAGGCAGATGGATCCAGAAGTCTTCTATCTTTACCCTCTACCCTGAATTGCCTACCAAGACATGCCAAAGGGGTTTTCAAAAAAATTAATTCCTTTTTCATCTTTGTAAGGAATCTCAAACCTGTGACCAATGGGAATATAGCTGTGGAGTCACATACACCAATGGAGAACTCACTTTGAGACAGTTAAAACGCAAAATGAAGCCTTCAGATTCTGAATGCTTTTGTTATAAGTTTAAAGCAGACTAAAAGACACTGGCAAATAATTCTATGGGAGGAATTGTGAACAAGTATGATCAATAAAGTCACAAATAAAAACAGTTAAGAGAATAGGATAAACTAGAACAAATCTAGCATGGATCAAATACCAGAAACCAGACCCATACAGTTGGCCACTGTTTAATACATGATAACCCTCATAATAAACCCCAATGTGGGTATTAGCCACTTTGGGAGGGTGAAGCTCTCAGATTACTAAGAAGCCAGGCTAACCAATATTTCAAATTCAAACAGAGGTTAGCCCTCTGATATTAAGCTCTTTCCACAAAACAGACTGGAAGTCCTCCTTGTTTCTATCTGAGTGAGTGAGTTTTAGACTAAATGTCTAACCAGGAATAGTGGGTATGCCTATAAATCCTAGCATGCAGGAAGCAGAGGCAGGAAGACAAACATAAATTTGAGGCCACCCCAAGCTACATAGCAAGTTCCAGACCAACCAAAACTATATAGCAGGACACTATAATAATAATAATAATAACAACAACAACAACATAATAGTCTTAATTTAATCAGATCATGACCTTATAAATGAGTAAGAAAGCTGCTAGCAGGCTATTTCTGAAAAGCACAGGCCTCACATAACAGTTTAACAAAACAATATTATCAAATTTTCAAAGAATAAAACACAGAGTATAACATTCCTAATTATTTTCTACAAAATCAGCAGAACAGCCGAGCAGAGATGGCACACGCCTTTAATCCCAGCACTCGGGAAGCAGAGCCAGGTGGATCTCTGTGAGTTCAAGGCCAGCCTGGTCTACAGAACAAGATCCAGGACAGGCACCAAAACTACACAGAGAAACCCTGTCTCGAAAAAAACAGCAGAGCAATGATATAAAACTAAGATAATATCCCCCATAAACATAAAGATCAGCTATAGACAATTTACTTATCAATAGTAGTAATGCTATCTATGAGGCACTGTGGTCAAATCTGTAACCGTATCTCCTCAGGCTGAGGAAAGAATATCCTGAGTTCAAGGCCAGCCTAATAACCTAGTGAGACCCTATCTCAAATAAAAATTCAAGGGTGAGGGGACGGAGCTGGAGAGCAGTTACTGCTCTAACAGGGATAGGAGTTGGGCTCTCAGCACCCATGTCAGGTGGCTCACAACCCCCTGTATTCTGACTCCTTGTCTTTTAGCCTCTGTAGGCACCTGCACTCATACATCCCAATGCATGTACATAAATCAATTTTTAAAAATTAAGAGACAGCAAGATAGCTCAAACTGTAAAGGTGCTTGCTGCCAAGCTTGAAGACCTCAATTCTTGGGGCCCACAGGGTAGAAGGAGAGAACCAAGTCCCACAAGCTGTTCTCTCACTTCCACGAGTATATCTCCCACCATGCATACAAGCAAATGAAGCGATTTCAACAACGTGAACAGCTAAAGCTGTGCTGCAGTGCAGAGTACTTGTACAGCACATGCAAGACTATGGCTCCAATCACTAGAACTGAACAAAGAGGTAATAGGATCAACGTTCATGGCATTTTCTTTTTTAGTTGTTTTGAGACAGGCTTTCTCTGTATAGCCCTGGCTGTCCTGGAACCTGCTCTGTAGACCAGGCTAGCCTCGAACCCACAGAGATCTGCCCATCTCTGCCTCCTGAGTGCTGGGACTAAAGCCATGCGCCACCATGCCCAGCTGTTTGAAAGACCCTAGCCCTTCAGGCTTATACCCCCAAGCCTCAGGAAAAGAGAAACTTCA